AGACAGTTAAAATAAGTTAAAAGTTGAAAACTTACCTTTGTTGTTATTTGTGCTCTGTCTCACAAATCACCACCCGCTCTCCACCGGGGAGGGAGCTGTTATGGATGCGCGCACGTGAGCCCAGAGCACGGCTGCTGGATCGGCCAGAGCAGGCGCGTATCGGCCGATACGATACAAAGGAAAAACGTGAATATCGGCCAAAAATATCGGCCGGCCGATGTATCGGTCGACCCCTAATTCAGACCATCATGAAAAATCTGATATGGGTCACATTTGCCTGCAGTGTGAACGTAGCCCGTGTCTACTGCAATAAAGAGGAGTTGTTGTTTTTTCCTCTGTAGTGAACCCAGAGCAAAGAAATGTTTTCATCAGGAGCTGAGGCTGGGCTGCAGAGGGTCTCCAATAAACAGGTTCCAGTGTTAGAACATTATTACTGTAAGACATCTATTYGTTAAACTGTTATAAATAACATACAAATATACATCTAATAAGATGAAAGTTTGACGTCATGGTATTTGAATTCTTTCTGCTGAAAATAAAGCATTTTCTCTTAAATTAAGTGAAAGTGAAACCAACTTTTAAATACGGCGCTCACAACTATTTGAATGTTGGTCTCCATGGAGCGAGTATCCATACACATCTAGTGTTGCTGGCTGAATCTGACCTGTAAATAAATCACTGCACTAAAATAACTGTAAGGGTCCCTTTTGGGCCACTATTGCCAGAACCAGACCTGGAGAAAGACAAAAGGTTGGAAAYGTGACATTTACAAGACAAGAATTGACAAAATAAACTATTTTTGTTTTACACGTCTCTTTGATGACATCATCCCTCTCTCCACAGCGTTCATCAAAGTAACGCCAATTATGCAAATCAGCTGATGACATAATTTAGCAACTTCTGCAGCCACAGGCTCTGCTCCTGGTTCTTTGCTCTGGCCCAGCAAATAGTTGGTGCCGATTTAGTACTGACTATTAACTGGAAGAGACATTTATTGCGACATAATAATACGGTTTTGGTTGCGGAAAAACAAAACTGCTTCTTTATTTTTAAAGCAACTCTAGCTGTGGTGCGAAAACCCTTTTAAGTACCATTAAAGAGTCATTTCAAAAAATATATTTGTCGATATAAAAAAAAAAAAAAAACTTTGAAATGTTTGATGATCTGGTTATTGTAGTTTAATTCCTGATATAACCGTGTGGGGATCAGCACGGTGGTCTTACCTCTGTAGATGGTGGGAAGGGGCAGTGAGGACAGACCCTGGCTTTGCATCTGCTGCTGCTGCTGAAGTCTCCTCTTAGCCTCCAGAACCGGGTTCTCGAACTGGGTTCTTCTATTTATATGACTACGGGAACAAGAGAACAGAAGAGTTCAGACTTCACAGCACCCTGCTGAAAATATCGTAACCTCTCTTTTGAAGTAGATCCCATCTAATAAACATGGCGCTGCAGCAGATATCGCTGTGATGATTAATTTAATGGCCAGTCGCACAGATTATGTAATAGAATAGTTTTGCAGCATAAAACAAAAACAAAAAAAGCAACACCTATTCTAGCTGTTCTTAATTTAGTCACTGATAACAAAACACATATTTTACTAAAATGAAATAGATTAGATTTAATGCACACAAATATATTTCTCTCCACCTCCTAACTTTTACTGAACACCCCCTGTTATAAACAGGGTAATTACGCAACTTTATTTTTACATAATTACATAACTTCAGGGTCTGGGAACGTCTTTCATGGTGTTTACATGATGAAAAAGCAAGAAAATAAAGAGTGTCTCAAGAGGAGGAGGGGAGTGCACCGTGTTTGGTGTCATTCTGCAGGTTTTCTCTAACAAAGTCGAGCCAAGTGGCTCTAAAAATAGATGCCGTCCCTATGCTCCAGAATGGAGCAAGTCCAGCCGGGGAGGGGGGGAAAAAAAAGGACCTCTCTATGGGAAGGGGTTCAGTTCAACAGGGACCAGCACTGCAGCAGCTACTGATCCGTGTGGAAGGAGGTAGAAAATTCTTTCTCTAGAGTTAATCTGATAAAAAAAAGAAGTGGTGCGAGCGCTTCAGACAGAGGGTAATAGAAATATAGATAAGCACACACGGGCTAATAAACCCTCTCTCAGGAGCGTCGTTGAACCGTTTCTAATAAACATGATTAATGCCGCGCCGAAAATCAAGCCCTTCAAATATTAAAGATGCACTAAAACTTACTCCACATAGTAGCTCCCGTAAATGGGGTCATCGATTTTCTCCCAGCCGTACGGAAGCTCTGGAAGAAAAAAAATAAACAGCTTTAATGAAGGGTTTATTTATTAAATGAACTCGCAGTTGATTATTGATCTTGCATGAAAAAAATTTTTTGAATTAGTGAGCAGCATCTTATCAACAGGAACATGCTTAGTGTTCTTTCTCAACCGGATTCAACCTGGACTCAAACCTGATTACAGAGACCACCCTGACCACAAATCGACCGCACCCCCTTCTCAAGAAAAAGRGTTTAATATCAGTTTTTCAGCAACTTGGCCTTATTGATTGACTTAAAGAGGTTATTGGTTCTTTAATRTTGTGCTTCAAATACATCACTCCGCAAAAACTTAGTTCCAAACTAAGTTCAGAACGTAGCATATATTAAAATCAGTAAAATATTAATGCTCTGTGCCTCTTCCAGGCTGTAAATGTTGTGTTTTGATGTAGGAATTCTGCAGAGATTTACAACCTTATATTGGACAAGTCCACCCCCCTTCATAGCACATCTCTTATGTTTCACGGTTTCTCTCGAAAAGTCGAATAAAGTCTTCAGACGRCGCTGACGGACGACGAGCAGATCAAACTCATGTGAAACGACTCTGAATGGCATATCAAAGTAGAAAAGTTAGAGCTTTAGCTAAATAAGAAAAAAAATAGTGCGCACAACTCAAATTTCCTTACAAAAAAGGGAGAAGAGTAAATGGGTGCCTGGTTCTGAAGAATCAAAAAAATGGGATGACCAGCACTCCAAAAAATACCTTGGTTTTAATAAGGGCAGAAGACGAGCCTTAGCTAAATACAGAACTGGTAAGTGTGGACACAAAACATAAAAAAAATAATTTAAAAAAGAAGAGAACGACCTTTTTTTTATCGCCAACTTTTTAACAAAAATAAACAAACTATTGCGAGAAAAATCAGCAAAGTCGTGACACGTTTCCTGACAGCTGATTGGGAAGCAGGAAAGTAGAGCTTCAACCTGAAGTGCGTATCTGCCACTTATGAGACAAGCATCAAACGCTACATTTTGTTCATGTCAGATCAGCTGTCTGCTGCCGTCGGGCTGCTTAGCATCAGCAAAAAAAAAAAAAAAAAAACAGTCAGTGGCCTTTCATCATGCCTGTTTACTTCTGTTGACAAGAATCTCCCAAGAAGTGACAGCCTAAATATGTCTCCTTTTGAAGTTGCTTAGCAACAAGAGCTACAGGCTTCGCCCGCTTGCAGCCAGAGGCCAGTTACACATCGTTAAAATGTCACATAAAAGAAAACTCCAAAACGGATTCCCGTCTTTAAAACAAAGCTTATGCTCAAATTTGTTTGCAATTTCTCCAAAACGCCAACAAATCAGATTTTTTTTGTTTTGAAGCTTTAAAGTGCCTGAGACATCAAACGCTGGACACAAATAAGAATGCGTTATTGGAAAGATCACATTATTGCAAATTAATAAAAATAAATCCACACATGGAGATATTTGCCTGAGCAGTAACAGGAAGTGATGACAAAGAATCAGATGTTTCTCTTACACCTCAACCTCTCGGCCAATACAAGTAAACTGAAATAAATGACTGGTTGCAGTAAAATAAACTGCAACCCCTTAAACAACAAAAACAACAAACCACCCTCGTACTAYAATTATTTCAAGTGTAACTGTTTTTATTGTGTGAAAACATTCAACAGCAATAAATCTTAAAAAGAAATGCCACTTTGGGCAAAAT